CCCTACAACATTTTAATCATGTTAAATTTTGGATTTTAATCTATTTTACTCTGTTCCTGATTGAAATGTGGTATAAACCACTGTAGTCAATTAAAAAAAGAAAAGAAAAAAGAAAAACAATAAAAAATAGTTGTCTTGCTCTGTGTTCTTCATCTGAAGAAACTTTGTTGTTCTAGTTCTGGGCCTTTGTTCAGCAGATGACTGCCAACCTTATATTAAAATGTGTTAATTTTTTGAATCAGACAAATGTCCATAGGAAACTAAGTAATCACTTTTGGCTAATTTTTCTTTTCGTGTCTTTGGACCTGGAATTAATAGATGAAATGGGCATGAGTCCTTTCTCCTGCTGAGCCAATTTCCCTCTGTTGATTTCAAAACAATTTTTATTGTAGTATGTTGGAGAAAATGAAGTGTAAGAATCGTGCTTTTAAAGTATGGCAGTTGCATATCTGCATAATGTATCAATGTAATTTGGGCATGAATCCATTTGATTGACTGCATTCTTCCAAAGAGTTACATTGATTGAAATTTCTAAAATTGTGCACACGCAGTGGTCCAGTGGGTGTTCACTTTTCTGTTCCTCAGGAATGATATTTGTATTTCAAGAAGCCCAATGATATGCACAGGAAGAATGAGTGTAATAAGAACATGACTGTGTTTTGAGTTTGTGCATAATTCAAAGATTTTGAGACATAGCTTAATCATGATAGTCTGCTGTACAGGTCTTGTATATCTGCAACTCTGTTCCCTGTTCTTGTTCCTGGCAGGCATAGAGCAGATGAGATCTCATTTGGTTGGTATCAGTTCTATCTGTTTCCTTTTCCTCTCTAATTAGTCCTTTCAAGCCCAAGACTCACCTAATATCATGACATGCCGGTGTCATCTGCTGGAACACTTCCTGAATGACACAATAATATTAAAAAATCAAACTCTGATTTTAAAAAATTAGCAAGAATCTATTTATTAGTAAGCAAAACAAAATAACTGGCTATTGGTTTTGTGTCAAATAAAAAGAATAGAGGAAAAGATTATTAAACTTTTATAGCAGTTAATTCTTCTGCTATATTTAATCTATTCTTGGTCTACAAGAATCAGGACAAAGTACTTGAAGGAAATAAGAGCAATATAAAAACAATTTCAAGTATCAGGTTATTTGTAGCAGCTGTTAGGGGCCCAGTTTTGAGTATTATTCTGTTGTCTTTAGAAGGAATGAACAGAGCAGGGCAGCTTTGAGTGATCTAATCCCATCTTTTGATAGTTGGAACATCAGGGACATGGGGAACATAGGGTTGGCTAATAGGCATTGATGGACCTATCTATCCTCCATAAACTTATGAGTGATCCCATTGACTACTACATTCTGTTAGAAATAGTCGTTTTTATGTGTTTTGATGTGCCACCTATAATTGTGGGTCCAAAGCAGTGCTGGATTAGCATGCACACAAGCTAAATAAGATACTCAAGCTAAATTTTAGATCCTCAGATTATGAGGGGCCTCTAACTACATAAAAATTACTAGTTTTTAGTTGCATCCTCACCTATGTACAGATATATATGCAAATATAAAACTTGATTATTTCTATTTTCATTGTCCATTTTGTTAGAACAATACACATTTTTGATAATGCTATGGGGCCTATTAAACTTGACATAGTTTAGGGCCTCAGCATGTCTTGATTTGTCTTAATTAAAATGGTTTCAAGCCATTTTTAAATACTGTTCATCTTTTATATCCCTGTTGGGATCCCTTATCCCACTTTACTTCTTCCAGACAGTCTATCAGAGTGCACTACTCCTGGAAATTCAGAAAATGGCTGACCCTTACAGTTCAGTGTTAAATTTTACTCTCCTCTCATTTTCCTGTCTCTTAGAGGTTCTTCTAATAAGAAATTGTTGAAAGAAGCAGCACTACTGTTATTCAGCTAGAAATAATAAAATGGATGGCAGTGTCTTGTATGTGGAAAAATCTTCCTTTTGTTTACTCATTTTAGATAAAAAAGGAGGCCTAAAACTATTCAGAAGCTTTGTAATTTCAACATGTTTACCTGAAAGATTAATGTTTTGGATCGAGTCCCTTGTTCTTTTCCTGTACTTTACAGATTTTCATTTGGAGCTGTCAGTCCTTGAGATTTCTGCTTCTGTGTCTTGATATGGTGGATTCACAACAAATACCTTTGTTTCCTTTTAGGAGCCAGCCATTTCTAGTTCAGGCTTTTTCTATTTGGAATGGCTATAACATCATGAGTTCTTATAAAGTGATTGGCATTGGCAGTAGTCCACTTTCTTCTGTATGAAGAAAATCTCCAAAGGATTTTCTGTTGAGAGTCTGATTTGACCTTTACAAGTCACTTTTTGTGTGTTTCTGAATATAAAATAGAATAAAGATCAACTTTCCAACCACTAGAGATCTTATTTATTCATAAGATCAAGATTGTATTTATTATGGACATTGAGATCTTTGACTGTCTTTTCAGGGATAAAGGATTGGTGCTCATTTAGCTGTGTACAGAATGAAGTTGAAGTTTTCCTTAGGTCTGTCACAATTTCATTGAATTAGTGCTCCCTGTCTCACAGTGAACTCAAAAGGCTTCCATTAATTTAGCCATTCCTAACTCTTGTGATTAAAAACAGATTTGGTAGCGTTAAGGTTGAGAAGACTGTGCTACTGTAGTGTACAGCGATGTCTTCCAGTTCAATGTCAGATAATCATGTTGGAGTGAATGAGAATAAAATTTGTATAATTTGAACTCCTAGAAAATTCGTGTAGCTAATAAGACGCAGTGAGCTGACGTTTATCATGTGGACTTTGTACACCATGATAGAAGGCAGAATGTGTCAATGGCAAACTTATTACTTGCACTTGCAAAATAAGTACACAGATTGAACCTCTCTGGTCTGGCAATATCTTTGGTCTGGCATGTCCACTTATCATGGATATGGCAGCTTTCCTGCAGTCCCATAAAGTTTGTTTACCAGTCGTGGCTCTGTGTTCTGTGCAGTTATTTAGTTCTAATTTACTCCTGTATTCTAAGAGCCCAGTTAGCAGTGGAAGTGTTGGTAATTCTGCTAGACCAGGGGTGGGGAATAATTTTTTGTGGGGTGCCATTCCAAGATTTTGGAAAGTAGTCAAGGGCTGCACATTTCTGTGCATGAGGTGTGGGGTCTAGGATGGAGGTTGGATGCAGAAGGATGCATGGGGTAAGGGACTGGGGTGCAGGAGATGGTGTGAGGTCTGAAGGGAAGGGGTGCCAGAGGTACCTTACTCCCAGCCAGCAGTCCTGCAGCACCACCGAGGCAGGCTGAGCTCCCTGTCTGCTACAGTCCCAGATGGCTTAGGGTACGTCTAGACTGCAGAGTTTTTCCATGATACTGGAGGTATCTAGGAAAAGCTCTGCAACATCCAAAGAATGTGTCTGCTTTTCTGAAAAAAATTCAGAAAAGCTGACATTTTTTTTGGCATCCCTGTAAACCTCGTTCTGCGAAGAAGGGATGCTCCGAAAGAGGCTTTTTTGGGTCTCACATTTGGCCCAGTGTAGACGGGCCAATTGTCGGAAAACCCTCGTTCAGAAGAAAAGTGGAAAAAGATACTCAAATTGCGGTTCGCAATTTGCATATCTTTTCCCAATAGAACTTTGTAGTCTAGGCACAGCCTTAAAACTGCAGGCTGCTCCCTCCATGTGGCAGTCAGCTCCGGGAGGGAGGAGAGGCTTGCACTGTTTTCGGCCAACAGGAGCTGAGGGTTCAGCTGGGGTTGGGAAGAT